GTCTTGGATCGCCAGGATTGGAGACCGATTGCAGGCAAGGGCCCCCTGAAGTGTTGATTTCAAGATATATTTTTTCAATGGATTGGTTTTAAGGGAGAATCTATAGGAAACCATTGATTTTTCCAGTTTTTCCAGTTTTTTCTTTCCTTTCTTTAAACGAATCCGTTGAACCTTACAGCCTACGTGGGATGATGATCCCGACCACGACTTTTCATTGCCGAATCCACCAACCAGTAGACCGGACATTTGTCATTTTTGCATCCGTGAATATTGCAGAAAGATGGGCCCCAATTCATGGTCCATTGCTCGGGATAGAAAGTTTCTGCTTTCAGAAGCGAGCATGGTTTGGCAATTCAAGTATGATCCCTTCTGCATGAGCACTCCTGTTCTGGACCATCCAAAACAGTGCAGGCTGCTTGAAGATTTGGGGGAGACAGCTGGGTGCCCAGAAAACCAGGAGTGAATCGCAACCACTGCTACTTGCAGGATCATCCCACTAAGTGGTTCATAACCTTGGCTCAGTGGATCATCCCATACACATCGGTTATAGCCCCAGTTACTGCCAGAGAACTAGTTTGCACTGCGGAGGTGCTGTTTTCAGCCCTTCCCACCCTTTGGTATCAATGTGCTGCTTTTATTGCTCTTCTTTTCGCTCTCGTTCCTGTTCTCTAGTTTGTTGTTGTTGTTGTTGTTGTTTGTTGATGTTGTTGTTGGTTGTTGTTGGTTGTTGTTGGTTGTTGTTGGTTGTTGTTGGTTGTTGGTTGTTGTTGGTTGTTGTTGGTTGTTGTTGGTTGTTGTTGGTTGTTGTTGGTTGTTGTTGGTTGTTGTTGGTTGTTGTTGGTTGTTGTTGGTTGTTGTTGGTTGTTGTTGGTTGGTTGTTTGGTTGGTTGGTTGGTTGGTTGGTTGGTTGGGTTTGGTTGTTTGTTTGGTTGGTTGGTTGGTTGGGTTTGGTTGTTTGGTTGTTTGGTTGTTTGGTTGTTTGGTTGGTTGGTTGGTTGGTTGGTTGGTTGGTTGTTGTTGTTGTTGTTCATGATGATGATGAGGAGGAGGAGGAGGAAGAGGAGAAGGAGGAGTGCAACCCCAAACCAGCAGTGTTTAAGGGCTTCTTCAGAATGTTGACCACCGACCCAGCAGCCAATCGGTATCTGAAAAAGCGAAAGCAACCTCAGTGTGAAGATGATGGAGGGGGTTTGCACAACAACAAATATGACATTTCCATGACATTTCGCCACAGTTTTCAAGGGTTTTCACTCCTGTCAGGCGTCACCGATGAGGGTGAAATTAGCGGAAAGTGATCAAGACTTGGCACTGGAGTGGGCCCACATCCCAGACTCTGGCAGCTAAGGTCTTGGGTCTTGAAGTCTCTGTGTGACATGTCAGCTGCTCTGTCCAAGCATGTATATATAATATATATATATATTATAAATTAAATTATATATACGTACATATATGTATAGAAGTATATATATATACATATGTATAGATGTTGATGTCTATACAAAATTATATGTATATACAGAAATCTATATCATCACCGCAACATAGTTTTATCATGCTTGGTTGGTGGGAGTTTTAAGTTCCGTTGCACGAAAAACTGAGGCCCAGTCAAGTCTGGAAGAGTTCCCGACTGAAGGAGGTTTGGGGCACCTGGGCCTGCGACAACCCAGGAGCCATCCATAGCCATCCATAGCCATCCATAGCCATCCATAGCCATCCACAGCCATCCATGGCCAAAGGTTGATCTCCCTCTGTTATCTCCATGATGTTTAAAAGCTGTGCATCTTGTGCAGAGTGACATATTTGCCCAACTGTCCTTCATCCACTCGTGATGAAAAACTAGTCTCTCCCATCATTGGGGCTCCAGGTAATCAGCAGATTGCCAACATATATATGGGTAAACACATCATAACACATCCATTCAACCTTTCCCAACCTTTCCCAAGCTTCTTAGTTTGCCTCAGCCCTTGTTCCATGGAAGCTAACACGGAGGAGTGTTGATCCCATGGTCCCATGGTCCCATGGAAAAACTCAACTGGTGAGGTGACCATGGTGACCTTTGGGATGCTTTGTCTGCTGTTCCCCCGGTCACTCGGCCGACCAGACACTGAGTGGAGAAGCTGAAAGTCTGAACTAACCACATTTACATACATTTACACCTTCATTTTCATTCATTTTCGATTCTAGTCTGAACTAACCACAGTGTACGGTGTTTTTTTGTGTCCATGTGTGGCAGCTGCTGCTTAGCAGATTTGTGTTGTACGCAAAGCAAAACTTCGCCATGATGGCCATCCAAGGAATGGTCGGCAGTAACGACCGTGATGATGAGAAACATACCGAACAAGTGACCCGCAGCCTCGGTTGGATGACCGTTGGATGACCGTTGGAGTTGAACCCGAATAAACCGCAATGCTTCGGCCTGCAACTGCGTTCATTTCGCAATTGCAAGAACAAAACGAATCCTACCAGTTCCGGGCTGTGCTTTTTTTTTGAACCCCATTCCAGCCTATGGTTTAAAACTTCATTTTCCCATTTTCACAACGCCATATTTCTGCGCAACTTGTCGCATCGCCAGGTACACTCAGCGAATGCTGCTGATGGAGGTGCAAGGATTTAGCCGTTTAGCGATGGATTGAATCGCCTCTTTGGGAAAGACATTCTCAGACACCAAGGGTGAGTCCATTGGGCCCACTCTGGGACAGGTACAGAGTTGTGGCTTCTTGGGGACCTTCGACTTCTTGTACCTGCCCATAGGTGCCATGGTCTGAAAATGGAGTGGTTCATTAACCCCTCGGTTATGGCAGTTTAAGAGGTTCATGACGATTACAAATGGTACAACGAGATCTTAAATTCTAATCACGGATAAATGTGTCTGACTGATGATGATGAATCAATAGATCAAAGTGATCAAAGGATACCAACAATTTTCAGACAAAGACCGAGAGGTGGAAGGCTGGATGTCAGGATGTCGGTTTGTTCACCATGTTCGCAATGTTGCCAGATTCCCTGTGGGAAACTTGTCCTGAAGTGATCCACCCTCCACGATCTGCTGAACCACTTGGACTCTGCCAGATGCTGAAACAGCAGCGAATCGTGGCTACGCATTCTTGAATTTCTTCGATCCTGGTTCAGCCTGGATGTTGGATTCTCAGTGCTTGAATCCGACAGGGGTCCAGGGCTTCAGGACCGTGATTCTGTGGCAGGAAACGAGTCCAAAGTAGCTGAATCCATTTGATACCAGTCTGCGAAAGCACTCGGGGTGCTGAATTTGATCACAGGGAAGTACCGCGGAATATTTAATTCCAAGAATGGTGGCCCAGCAGCTTCGCACAAATGTCAGGTTCCGTTGCATGTTTGAAGGACGCAAGATGAGCCGCTTCAATTCCAAGAAGGTGGGGCAGTGCTTCGGTTTGGTGATGGGACAGCTGTGTTATCCTTCAAAGGGGACACCTGGGCAATACGACATAACTACTGAAACGAAGGCGGAGCGTCCTTGGCAGCTGAGTGCCTTTGGTACCACCAGAACCAGAGACATTTTTTTGGAGCCGCTGCAACTTTGGAACGTTTGCAATCCATGGAAAACATGCTTTGCACAGACCATTTGCACCACTTGTGCACCACTTGGCTGAACCTCCGTGGCTGCACACAGCTTCTCCATGTCCAAAATCTGCCAAGCAAAAAATGATGAAGGTCATGACGGTCATGAGTGTCATTTCATGTCATTTCCCCAAGAAGTTGATGAGTGCACCACTTAATTCCACCAGAAAAAAGGTTTGAAATCCCTGCTGGCTGCCAGGTGATCTCTGTGGTTCCAGCCACACTTCAGGCTGGAAATCACCTGTGTGTTTCCTCAAAGAAAACCCGTTGATTGATGATTGTTGATAAGAGGTTATATACATGGTTATACAAATTATACTGCCCAATATCTTGGGGATTATCACGATCCCGAGTTTCATGAAACTTCAACAAGTTCTGTGCAGCTAAGCTGAGCCTGCGGGTGGCGCCTTGCAGGGCTTTGATGCAAACTACGCGCACTACAACCGTGCTCGAGTGACTCGTCTTGGGGATGGCACCATTTTCCCATAGGGCCATAGGGGCCATAGGGGCCATAGGGCCACAGTTGCGCCAGTTCCAATGGGCCAATGAAATTTACAGACATCCACCAAGCCTAGAGCAAGGTCAGGACTGCTACATTTTGTCGCACATTGAGATGACATGACACGGCATTGCGCACGTTAAGGTAAGCCGAGGAGATCCATCTGCTCGACCACTCTTCCTCCGGGTTGGGGCTCCAAGTGTAGCCATGGTCCATGGTCCATTCAAAACAGCTTGTGTCGTTGGTTTTGGATCAACGGCTCTCGAATTCATGGCAGTTCTCTTCACAGTAGGATACTCATATATATATATATATATATAAGTCTTGTAGCGAAGGTTGAGGCCCGAATTCCCCCACGGCCGCTCTTGTTGGGGTTTTCGGATAGCCATAGCCTTAGCGGGGTTCTTGGACAGCAGACCCCGCGGGCCCTTTCGACGCCGCTCCACTGAACTGGTCCCGCCCTGGTGGTTGCGTGCACCTGTGCTCTGCTGCATTCACGCAGCATCACCTGGCCCTGAGGTCCCGGCCTCGTAAAACCTCCCGGGTTCTGTTCATCTTGGGCATCCTGGACATCCCGGTGAAGATCGGGCTTGCATCTCTGCACCCTGAACACCTTCCTCCTTGTCAGCATCTTCAACGTTGTGGACAAGAACATCTTCCCGGTGTATGACAATTTTGCTCTTCTACTTCCTGGCCCTCGTCTTTGACATCTGTTCGCATTGCTGCAACGGCATCCCTCACTGCACGTCGGAACTTGAGGCGCAAGAGAGCAACTGCTCGCAGAGCGTGGTTCTTGCACTCAAGAGGCATCAGTCTACTTGGACCAGATCGTTTGCGTCAGGTGTTTCATACCCTACGGCAACATCATTCGAAGGACGATCGCTTCCTTCATCTGATCCAAAAAGCAATGTCGAAGCAACATCAAGACAATGCAGGTTGGATGTGCGGCAATTGCAAGAAGCTCCGTGCCAAGAACGCCTGGTTTTGCGATCTTTGTGGATGTGCATGGGAAGATTGCATCATCTACCCCAAGAAGAAAACGACGTATGCACGGTTTTCCTCGAGGAGATCCTACTGGACAGAACCAGATCATGCTCCTTGGACAGGAGATTCAGGTGGGAAGAGTCCTCGACAAAGCCCAAGGACGAAGAACACCCAGAAGAATCGTGGCAAGGGCAGAGGGAAGTCAAAACAGCAGCCTTTGACGCCTCCACCGCCGCCACCAATTGCAGGTCCAGAAGGTCAGCAGCCTCCATGGATGAGCATGCCCTTACCGCCGGGTGCATCGTCTTCTACCGCTTCAGCAACGACTCAGTCATTAGCGGAGCAGAAGTTGAAAGATGTTGCATCAATGCTCAAGAAGGCCAACCCAGAGACGCTGACCCCAGAGCTGCAGCATTTCGTCGCGGAGGAGACCAAAGCTGCGACAAAGAAGGATGCAAAGACATTATACACTGCTGTGGACGAGCTGACAAAAGCTCGAGAAGCTCTGGACACGGCACTCCTGGCGCGCAGCAACTTGATGGCACAGTGGCGAGCCTTTTTGACGATGTCACTGGAGAGATTTCGTCAATACACGGATCACTTCCAACAACAAGAGCTTGCCCACCAAGGGAACATCAAGGCCGCGAAGGAGGCCCTCCAGAAAGCCAAGTCAGACTTCAGTACGAAGGAAGAGGAGGCCACGATCATCTCCGACGAAGATGGGCAATCCAGGGAAGATTCCACCAAGGAGTCAGCGCACAAGATCTTGGAAGGCCTCAATCACATGACCGAGAGCTTACAGAAACTCTCAGAGCAAGCCGAGAAGGAACACACAGAGGAGGAAGAAAGAAAGGCCAAGCGGCCGCGTCAAAAGGAGGCAGAGGCAGTCGACGCACCCATGAAAACCGAAGGCTTGCCGTCTATGCAGCCTTTTGGTGTGCCCGGTCATTGATGACTTTAGAGTACTTTGATCGATGGGCACCTTGGCCTCCAACCCACATCACCGCAGAGGTGGCTGGTATGCAATGGGCACATTCCATTCTATGGGATCCCAGCTACAAATCTCCTTGGCAAGCCAGCGAAGATGCTATGCAACTTGCCTTTGAGATGCAGCCCCTCAGTTTCCTTGAACAATGCGAGCGACGAGATTGGGGTTTCTCTTCATCGCACAGGAGACGCAAGCGACACTTGAGCGTCAGTTTTGATCAGTTTGCACAAGTCCATTTTGGACCAGACTCCAGCTCTACCTGGACAACATGCAGAGTTCCCACTGCTGATGTTTCACATCGAGGTCTATTGCCGAAGAGCTCTACTACCTCTCAATCCCTTTGCATGCAATTTGAAGAAGGCAGTCTACCAGTTGTAATCTCGAGACTGCCCAATTTTGGCCCGATACAGAACAGGCCAGACCTGGATGAAAATCCAAATCTACCTGATCCACCCAGCTCGTCAGATGACGCTCAGGGGCATGATGGACCACGACGCACTCCACTCCGGCTTCTGCCTGCCTGGGTTGAGTCTCTTTGGAACATCCTGCAAGACGAAGGTGCTACCGAGCTTCTCGAAGAAGGGCCGGTCATTTACCTGAGCACTTTCTACCTCAGCCATCGCAATTGCATTAGACAGGCTGTCAGCCGCCCAATCCGCCTCACCAGACAATATGAAAGGTGGATTGACGAGTTCAAATTGGTTTGGGGTGACCTTTTTGACCAAGATGCAAGCTTTAGTCTGTACCTCGTTCAGCCGGAGCCTCCGATTTCAATAACAAGAGGTATCGTTGGTATAGTGCTCATCGTTCAGCATGAAGAACCTGAGGGAGCCGCCATTCTCACAACGGCGCTGTTCGATGAACTTCCCACACCGCGAACACTTGAGATTGCACATGTTCTGAACATCTGGACAGACTTCACCACTCTTTTGCATCGAGCTGAAGCTTACGATGCTTGTGTTGAAGCTCAGCGACAAGGCTTGCAACCTTGTGTTCTACGTGCAGGGCCACACGTATTTCCTCGTGAACGACCGATCCGAATTACAGACGGTCTTGGACTTGTCATTGACGTACTCCTGCTCATTCATGAAGAAGCCTGGGAAACGTACGTTCGCCCACGAATTGAACAATGGCCTGAATTTGTGCGTCAAGCACCACAAGAGATTCAAGATGACACAGATCACGTGACACTTATGGCACGTCGCCCGCAAGTTCGAGGCCCTTCATCATCGAGTTCTACCTCAAGGACCTCCGAGGCAGCAGCCAATTCACCTAGACTTACAACCTGGCGCAGAACGGTCATCATAGTTCTTGATGGACCTACAGTCTCAAGCCCATTGCCTGAAGAATCTGGACCTGAACAACTGCGCAGAATTGAAGTCGCACTATCAGTTCAGCAGGGTGAAGTAGCCTCGACTTTCATTGTCTCTGAGAAGCCAGAAGACTTGATTGCTGTCGATCTGGACTGTATGCTTGTTCTCACAGCCCAACAACGACGGCCAATTCCATTTTTGCGTCTGACGCTCTTGGATGTTGAGATCATTGAGGAGAACGACATACTGCCTGGCATTTTTCAACGTTCTGCAAAGTGGTTGCCGCACACAACCACGAGACTCTCACTTTTCAGGGTTTTGTCACTTGAGAATTTGCTCCTACTCCATGATGACAAGACGCACCTATGGATCAATAATGCTCTCATTGATCCATCACCTGATAGGGCTCTCACCATTGAAGACGGTGATTATGTCAAGATTTTCATTGGCGATGATGAGCACCGCTTTCACTGTGACGGAGCACAAGATGCCATGACAATGCTGCAAACTGCCATTGCAACAGTCTCATCACAGTTCCAAGACCAAGGGTCTCGAGTTCTTCCACTTGAAGACCGCCAGAGCAAGCGCCAACCGTCTGCACACTGTGATCCTGCAACCGATGACAAGCCTGGACCTTTAGAAGTCCCTGATGCTGTATCCTGCAGTTTTACAGATGAATTTCTGAGGGCCGTCGACGCTTTGCGCACGGCTACTGACGCCATGCCTGAGTTCCTTGAGGACGATCCTGGTGACATCACCGCCTACGATCCATGGGTCCAACAATTGCATGAAGCATGGACGCGGCTAGCAGTAGTTGGGCCAGGCGGCATGGAACGACTTGGTCGAGTAGAAACTTGGTTCACCGACCATGCGAATTTTCAAAGGTGCCATCACACCAGGATAGCGGTCTTAGGTCCGGATGCTCACCGATGGGAAGAGCAATTGAGACATCTTTGGCGCCAATACCTGCTACTAGGCATGCCCCTTGAGTTCCACGTTGTAGAGCCGACACCAGAGGACGCGACTGGGCAAATCATTGCCCAGCTCATCCTTGTGCAAAGACCCCATGTGTATCAACGCTCGGTCGTGATCTCAACCTATGACAACATGTACGACCAAGGACGCGCACATTCAACTGCGGTAGTCATGGGCACCAGGGTTGACCTGTTCGCTGTGTGCACTATGATGCAGGCGCATGAAGATTGTCCTCCTGAAGCACCTGAGAACATCTGTACCCTCTGGCATGGGTCACGCCTCCTTGAACCACGAGAACGAGTATATGCTCGGCATGGCACCGCTTTCAAGTTGGTCATTCAGCGCGTACCCAATTCAGACCTGACCTCACCAGTCAGCACCAATCTTCAGACAAGAGCTGATGCAATTGATGCTAGGATCTATTCTGCATCTCAACAGCGCTCTACAGACAGTTTGCCCTTGTGGGCACAGACTTTACATCGTGTGTTTCAGGATCTTGCAGAGACTGAACGTGAAGATGAGGGGCCGGTGGCATACGTCGCAACATGGTATCTTCATGCATCCTATGCTCCTAGATGTGAACCAGGTCGCATAGTACGTCTGCGTGATGATCCCAACAACTGGCAGCGAACCCTCCTTGAAGCATGGGGCGATCGCAGAGACTCAAGTCGGCCAGCCAGCCTTTTTTGGGTTTCCCCTGCACCGCCTACCTCACTGACGGATCATGTCCTCGGCCATGTTCTGATTGTTCAAGAACTACCCGCACACTCGGTAGCAACCTTGCTTACTGCCAGAGTGCGAGACCATGAAGGACAAGCACTGCACCGAGTCGCTGTCTGCATTCCTCAAGCCTCAACAGCTGAGGATATCGTTGCAGCCTTCCCAATTCCAGGACCCCTTTTGAGGTTTCCAAGACGTGTTGGCAGGGGACGGACTTACTTCAGTCCAGCCGTCCCCTCGCAGTTTGCATCCGGCGAAGGTCTTGTCATTGACATTATGGACCCATCGCCAGCACCTGATGGCAGACCCGAGGACGACGGCACCAACCTGTTGCAATTGCGAGCGTCACGCTCCAGCAAAGAGGATGGCAACCGCCCCAATGCAGCACAAGCCGAAACGGCAAGAAGGTGCCTAACAGTTGGGCAGGTGGCTCACACCCAACGACCTTCTTCGCAGGACAGCCCCTTTCAAGTGAATCTTGACAGGAGCATTCCAGCGCCGCCACTAGTGCGCGTTGATTTTTCTGCGGTGCATACCATTGCCAATATCATCAATGCATCAACAAATGAATTTTCACAAGATTGGCCGATCAACTTTGAAATTCCGTCAATCACAATTGCTGCATTTGAAGATCTTGTTTCCAACCCCAATGTAGCTCCGGTCGCATACCATCTTTACACTGATGGTTCCAAAATCCCAGATTGCGCCGTTGGCGCTGGCATCGTTCTCCTCCTAGAACATCAGCAAGGGCTCTCTTTTGGTGGCGCACTCAGCAAGGTGATCGCAACTGAAGGACATGCTGGTGTTGGAGAGAACGGCGCTGTTATTTGGGCTTTACTTTGGGCGCTCCAACTCAGCAACTATGCTTGGGAAACTTTTGGAGTATTTGATGTCCACTTCTACTTTCACTTCGATGCAGTGAATGCGGGCTATCTTGCGGGTGGCTACAACCGAACAAAGCAATTCCCGCAGCACAGAACATTGATGCGCAGCCTTGCACATGTTCTCCAAGGGAGACACGGTCTCTCACGGATGCACTGGCGACACGTAAAGGCCCATGCAGGCAACCCATGGAATGAGTTTGCCGACGCCCTTGCCAAGTATGCTTCTCAACATCCTGACCGAGTATCCCACAGCGAACTCTGGCATGCTTGGTTAGAAGACCCAGAATCTCTTCTGGCTATCCAGTGGGTATGGTACTTGGAGCAGATGAGCGCAGAGAGCTCCTATGTGCCTAGACTTCACAATGGTTTTCTTGAGTGCAGCCTCACACAAGTACCTCAAGGCCCTGAAGCAGGCCGAGAGACTCCTTCTCTCAACCACACATCGGCAGCAACCGATCAGCCCATTCGGATTGACTTCACAATTGCAACTGCGAACGTCCTTACGCTTCACACTGACAACTGCAGACGCCAGGGCACGAGTATTTCAAGACAGCTTGTCATTATGCAGCAGTTCCACGAAGCCAGTTGTGCGATTGTTGGGATCCAAGAGACCCGGCATCATCATCTTGTTGGGACAAACAACCCTTGGTACCATGTGCTTGGCCACCCTGCTTCATCACAAGGGCAGGATGGAATACAACTGTGGATCTCCTCCTGCATCCCCCTTTATGAAGCCGGACCTCGTATCCTTAAAGAGCACATCCGCATTGTCTTTGCTTGCTCCACGACACTTATTGTCAAGATCAATGTCTGCTCCTGGAAATGCGTCATCGTCACTGGCAGAGCACCTCATTCTGGCAGGCCACAACATGAGGCGATTTCCTACTGGAACAAAATTTCAGATGTGCTGCAACGCAAAGCATATGGGTGGCCTATTTTCTTTTGTGGAGACGCCAATGCACATGTTGGGGAGTGCCCCACCACTGCGATTGGCGACCTGGCCCCTGCACAAGAAAACCAAGCGGGAGAAGTCTTTCATCATTGGTTGCTGACCCACAATCTCAAGTTGCCGGCCACTTTTGCGGAGTCTCACTCCGGAACTGCTCACCATTCCTACCATTCACCTGATGGCAAACATGGGACTAGGATTGACTATGTAGCAGTGCCACAAGAGACTCCGTATGAGAAGCTGAACTCTTGGATTGCAGAAGACATCGATCTCAGTGTGCAACGGACTGACCATCATGCCGTTCTATGTCATTGTTCTTTTACAATCGTCGCCCCACCTCAAAGAGGCATGAGGAAAAGGCCGGCATGGGATTCCCAACATCTCAGTCAGCAACTTTTGGAGGAAGATGCATTGTACACTCTGCACTCTGCAATACCTTCAATACCCTGGCATGTAGATCCTCATGTTGCGGCATCTCAGCTTGCTCATCACACCACGGCTGCCTTGCAACAAGTTGCACGCCCTCGCAAGACCTGGAAGAGGAAGAGCCACATCTCTGACAACACCTGGATGCTTATTGAGAACAAGAAGTTCCACTTCAAGCACCTCAGGCAATTGACCCGCACTTGGCGGTATACTATACTGCGAGTCTGTTTTTGCTCTTGGCGAACCTCCACTGCAACGGGCACGAGTGCTACCTCGACCTTTGGCCAAGAGTTACGACGCGGTCTACCTCACTGGTTGCAACTGCATGACAAGGCGGTTGCCCAAACAACCAGACAATATCGGCAGGCAGCACAGCAAGCCAAGCAGGCGATACAGGAGGAAGACATCGCCTACTACCAGACTCTTGCCTCACAGGCGAAGCATACCTACTCGGTTGAAGGCCTGACAGGAGTGTGGAAGCACTTTCGTGCCATCCTTCCCAAGAACAAAGGCAAGCGACATACGTTTCAGCATGATCTCGGACCTTCGCTACTTCAACACTTTCAGACCCTAGAAGCTGGAGTATCGCATGAATACCAACAACTTCGACAACAATGCATTCAGCGCAACAACAAAGAGATCGCAGCCTGCCCACCTTTGCAGCACTTTGATCTACGAGAACTTCCGACCCTGGTTGAAATTGAAGATCATTGCCTGAGACAACGCCCACACAAAGCGGCCGGGCCAGACGGAGTCCCATCCTCCCTCTGTAGGAATGGCTCTGTTGCCATTGCCCCGCATCTTCATTCGTTGATTTGCAAAAGCTTTTTGCTTGGCATTGAACCTTTTCCACACAAAGGTGGTCATCTCTGCGCGCTTTTCAAGCACAAAGGAAGCCGTGATGATGCAGCTGCCTATCGGGGCATTCTCCTGGCCGATTCGTTTGCCAAGATTACACACGCATGGACCCGCCAAAAGCTGCTCCCGACTTTACAGGCGAGACGCACAATCGGGCAGCTAGGAGGTTTGCCCTCACAGCAGACGCTTACGGGCATCCAAATCCTCCGACTCCATGGCAGTGTAAGCAAAGCGGCACAATTATCGACCTGTACGATCTTTTTGGATTTACGTTCGGCCTTCCACCATCTTCTCAGAGAGTTGGTCTTCCTGACATCGGACGGTTTGACTGAACGAGACCTCGAGCAAATCTTCAACCAGGAGGACTTTGACATCCCGGCCCTGGCCAGTAAGATTGCTGAGATCATCTCTACCAATCGAGAAGACATTCCTCCAGGTCTCCAGCGTTTCCTGCATGACATACATCATCAGACATGGTTTCAGCTGCGTGAGGCTTCGGATTTACGTTCAGGTGAGTGCACCCAAACACGACGTGGCTCCAGACCCGGGAGCCCTTTAGCTGACATTGCGTTCAACCTCTTGATGGCAGAACTTCTTCATGATCTGCATGAGGCCCTGTTGAACAATGCTCACTATGTCGAAGGCAGCTCTGCGCTTGGAGTGACTGTGCCCCCAGTAGCATGGATGGATGATGTCGCAATTCCGTTGACTACGACCACACCTGAAGCCCTAGTGCCCCTGGTCCAGCAAATCACTGCAGTAGTCCATGGTCTTTTCAGAGCTCGTGGTCTCACGCTCAACTTAGACAAGGGGAAAACTGAAGCCGTTCTTTGCTTCAGAGGACCTGGCTCTGACGCACAACGTCTTCAGATTTTTGACACTGGGCACCAGCCAGTCATTGTTGTCGATGCAGACAGCCACATCCTTTCCTTAAGGGTTGTGCCATCTTACAAGCACTTGGGTGCGCAATACACCATGAACATCGATGTGTGCCGAGAAATCCGAGCTCGGCTTGGAGCAGCGCGTCAGGCCTTTGAAGAAATGAAAAAGCCGCTCTTTCTCAACAAACGACTCCCAGTCGCGGCAAGAATCCAGCTATGTCAGAGCCTCATTCTTTCCAGGTTGCTCTATGGATGTGCAGTATGGACAGACATTCCCAATGCTCTCATCAAGAAGCTGGAGACAACGCTCATTGCCTACTATCGGCAAATACACGACATTGGCTTCTGGAATCAAGACCATGTCACTGATGACTCCTTCCGACGAGCACATCAACTACCGACATTTTGACAGTTTTGGGCACGACACAAGTTGACCTTCCTGCAACACATTGCGCAATTTGGCTCAGTATTTCACAAAAGTCTGCTCCTTCGTGAACTTTGCACTGGTAGAGGCTGGCTTTTTGAGATGCGAGATGACCTGGATTGGTTGGGAGCATTCCGGCAACTGCCCTTTGAGCTCCCTCATGACCGGCCTTCTTGGGTCAATGTGTGGGACGCCCTACGCAGTTGTCGACCATGGAAAGCGTGGATCAGGAAGGCCTGTGCCAAGCACCTTGTACAAGAACAAATCGCATGGGAAGTCAGCACCCAGCACACCATCATTCTTGATGAGCTACGGACTGCTGGCCTGCAATTATTGAGTGATGTACCGGATGCTTGTGATCCAAAACCTTATGCCTGCCCCCAATGCACTGCTGTCTTTGCGACTCATCATCAACGAGCTCTCCATGAATTTCGTGTTCATGAAGTGCTCGCTGAGGAGCGCTATTATGTGCAGTCCACGGTCTGCAGCGGATGCCTGAAGGACTTCCACACTACCTTCAGAGTAACGCAGCATTTGCGTTATCGGCCGAACAAGTGTTGGGACCGACTTCATGGGATCAAACAACCGGATGAACCTGTCACTTTACACTTACCAGCTCACCTGCACGGCGTTTGCAGACTTCCTGCAGTGCGTCGTCATCATGGACCTCTGGGGCCCACTTCGCACCACCGAGAGCGACAGCGAGTTTGGCAGGCACTTCTTCAGAATTATGAGGAGGGCGTCCATGACTATGCATGGTGGCAGCCTGATCTTGCCACTCCGCTGGTCACCAAATGCTTTGCCCAGTTTGAAGCATGCCTCCAACAATGGATGCTATACCCTACGGAGGAAGCATTTCACAATGACTTCTTCAATCTGCTCTTCAACTTTGACATCCCGGAGTTTCAAGCGGCAAGGATCTTCATCGCCTGGATTGAGACCGAGTTCCAAGATTTGCACTCAGCCTGCGATCCAGCGCTCTATGATATCCTGGAACGCAGCCATATGTCCATGCTTGAGGACATCCATATCTGGCAATTGCGTGCACGCCGCAAACACTTGATGCAATGCTGGGACAGACTTGAGCAAGGTGAGCCCAAGCCTGCAAGGGCACCGAAGAAGCACCCCATACCTCATCAACGTAGCCATCAAGTTCAGTCTACGTACAGAGCAATGCCTTTCGCGGAAGCAGACCGGCGTCAATGGGTAGTCCTTCACCCCCCGAAGATCGTCAAGACGCTTGGAGCAGGACCCTATTACGTCGTCCATCTTTATTCTGGGAGGCGCCGAGATGGAGATTTTCATCACTTCATGCAGAAGTTCTTGGAGGATGGCCCCCGGCTGATCTCGCAATCAGTGCTGGTGATCTCCATTGACACGGCCATCGATGAGACCATGAACGTCCACGATGTGAAGCTATGGGCCTTCTTGTTGGAGGCTGCGCGGAATGGGCAGATTCTTGCTCTCCTACTTGGACCACCTTGTGAAACTTGGAGTGGAGCCAGGTTCGAGGAGCAAATTGATGAGGAAGGCAAACCTATCAAGGGCCCCCGGCCATTGCGAGGCGCACCAGATCTTCCTTGGGGCCTTGAACAACTCAGCCTCAAGGAGCTCCATCAGATATTGATTGGGAATGGCCTTCTTTTGAAAGGACTGCATTTGAGTGCCTGCGTCGCTTGTCATGGAGGAGCCGTAGCGCTTGAACACCCTGCACCGCCCTTCCAAATCGAACGCCCATCAATATGGCGAACTGCTATCGTCAAACTCCTTTGCAGCGCTGGGATGCCTTTTCGGCAATATATGTTTCAACAATGGAAACATGGCGCCAAAGGAGTTAAACCCACCACACTGCTCTACGCACATGCAGCGATCCCTCGAATCTTCGCAGCGAATGAGCAGACGCAGCTTGTGCGTCCAACGGCTCCGCTCATCGGACGAGCTGCTGATGGCAGTTTCAAAACTGCTGTGGCAAAAGAATACCCAGCAAGCATGAATTTTTGCTTCGCCGAGGCGTTTTGGCTGCACATATCAGCCCGCTTTGCTCGGCACCAGGCTCCGATGACACATTCCGGAGTCCCGGCATATGTACAGGAATTGGCAATGATCTCGGCCTGCGTGGATCGCGACCGTACGATCATGCCTGACTACCAGCCTCTTCATTAGGTTGGATGTAGCATGACCGCCACAGGCTAGACCTACATGGCAGAAAAGTCTTGTAGCAAAGGATTTTTTTTCCCCACATCGCATTATTTTCGTTTGGAAGACTGGCAAAAGACTTTGCAGTGGGCTTCCCGCCAGCTGAAGCTGGATCTGCCATGAGGAACCAACGGGGCAACGAAGTGGCCTTTCAGTAGGGGCTCCCAGGAGGTCGAAGCATGTGGCAATCAACTAATGGTTGGTGGTACACTGCCTCAAAGTTTACCTGCTCGAAAGCAGGGCGAGTTTCAGGTCTACGGTGTTTTTGTTGCTTTGACCATGGTGTAGCTGCCTTCTCATAATCTTTCAATAGTGACGCTGTGGCTGCAAGTTGTTTCAATGTCGCACCATGTCCCACCTATGTCTTGCCGGTTCCATTTTGGGCTCGTGCATAGAGTCGCCCAGGCGACAAGGCCTGGGAACCCGAATCTTCCCACGCCATGCGCCATGGAATCCTTCGCATTCCGTGCTGCAGGCTCAGTAGAAAGAGAACTTGCTGATGGTGTGAAGGTCCAGAAAGGGAAAATGGAGACAGATGATCTCTGGGTGCAGTTGAAGAGGCAGACTGAGGAAATGGAGAATCGCATCCGCCGCTTGGCTGGCTGCGATAGACAACAAAGTGTGACGGCAGAAGAGCCGATTTTTGAAAAGAAGGAAGTTGCTGATAGTGTGGAGGTCAGGAGTGAAGCCAGTGCTTACAGGAAATCAGTCTCCCAAACCCACAGATCGGGAGGATGGACATTGATGACTTGCCGATTTCTGTTTGGGCTGGTCGCAGCGCGGCTTTTGATGCGAATGGTCTCCTGCGTCTCTCTTTTGCAGGCTGTAGCCACGCCAAGCAAGGTGTGGAAGTCCTTGAATCTGTGGGTGCGGCAGATGAGGAGACGACACCAAGAGACGACAAGATGAATGAAACTGCAGTCGCAATGGCAACTGCTGAGCATCCCTCACCGCTTGGTGTGGAGCAGAAGGCCGCTCAGGTCAGGAGATTGCAGCTGGCAAAGCAAAGTGGGGTGCCGAACATCGGGTGGAACTGCACAAACTTGGCATGGAAGGTCCGCTTTCCCAAAGTTGATTCCAAAGGGGAATTTATCAGCCAGACTTCACGAGAATTTGGTGTGAAGAAGTTCATGGCCCCAGGCCGCACTAAGGCCGAGGCTGATGCAGCAGCTCTCGAGGCTGCGAAGGCCTTCCGCACAAAGCTGGTCGAGAAGGGCATCCTCAGAGAGCCCAGGCTGAAGGACCCCAACTTCACCAGCGAAGTCCTTGGGGTTTGTTGTAACAAGAAAGCAGAAAAGTGGAGAGTGCAGGTGGCCCTGAATTCAAGAAAACGAATGACAACGGCTGAGGGCAAGGCTCTTGAGCTTCGGGAGAAGCATGGCCTGCGGCGCCAGGTGAAGCCTGTGCCTACGCTGGCAAACTTGCCGGTGTTCCACCCCAAGTTGCCATACCCGGGGGTGGTGTGGAACCTGCGAGAGCAACAATGGCATGCCCAATGCCAAGTTGGTGGAGCCCATCGAAATTTCAGGGTGAAGCCCAAGGACCACTCGGAGGCGGAGCTGGAGCGCTCCTTCAAGGTGGCAGTCGCGTGGAAGAAAAAACAGGAGAAGGAGAAGCAAGAGATGGCGGTGAAGCCAAAGGCGAAGCCTCCGAAGACAAAGCGTAGGTGAGTGCAAAAGGCACAGATCCTAGATTTGCATGGCTTCTTTTCCAAGACCGTTGCAGTACAGACCATTCGCATAGAGCATGCTTCAAAAAGAACATAAAGAATCATCTCCAGTTGCCAGTCTTCGGGATCTTGAAATTGAGATCAATCATTTAGAATCATTCGGATTCATACATTGAAATTGAATGAAATTGATATGCTAGGGCCAGGGCCCGGTTCAGCATTTGGATGTCACTCATGGTTTCATCATTTGGGTAAATGTAGAAATGAGGTGTTTGCAGGGAAAAAACGCACATATGTTTTGTTGGTGTAAATACACATTTTGGTGGGTGATGCCAACAGCTACTGGTAGGTACTACATACAGAATATAGACACTGTAAAACAGATACTCTATATATGATCTTCCGTATGATACTCTATAATATATATTTACTATATATGTATATATATATCTATACATATTTACATGTACTAATGGTTTAGGACGCGGCGGACACTTTTTGTATCCTCAGCTTTTCGCGCGCGCTCTAAGATGAAGCTGACCGACACGTGGTCTTCTGAGCATCTCGGCAGAAAGGGCCTGCTGCTGTCGACGTTTCGTGACATTTTTGCTGGGTGATCAATTTGTATTGTACATTTTATGTATAACACCTGATGCATGACATCTTGAAAAGTAAGTATAATCATGTATTATATATATATGTAATTATATGTATATATATATATGTATGTATGTATGTAAGTATGTATGTATGTATGTATGTAATTAATGTATGTATGTATGTATGTATGTATGTATGTATGGAATGTAGTAATGTATGTATGTATGTATGTATGTATGTAAGTAATGTATTAATGTATGTATGTATGTAATGTAATGTAATGTTATGTAATGTAATGTAATGTAATGTTATGTTATGTTATGTTGTGTTATGTTATGTAATGTATGTTATGTTATGTTATGTATGTATGTATGTTATGTATGTGTTATGTATGTATGTCATATAGATTAGATATGATATAACATAACTATATGTATATATATATGTATATATATATAGCAAATACACATCCCAGCCAGTAGAGTAGCAGATTTTTCCCCACATCTGGCAGGTTTTTCGAGGGCCAAAGATCTGCGAGGGCCAGGAAACCCAGGAAGTTTTCGCAAGCTCAGCTGTGGCCAAGCAGCTGCCATGAGATTTTCACCCTTCCCAGAGGGTTTCAGGCTGGTTATATCCAGAGATTGAACATTTAAGCCAAATATGTGTTTGAATAAATTTCCTCTGAATAGCTTCTTTTTTCATGTCCAACAAATTTAAATTCAACTATCACGGAAATTTCATATCATTTTTTTTTTATGTTGTTTTTTTTCAATTCAACAAATGATGTTGGTGTTTTTTTTGGCATCGCTGAAGCCTGAAACATCCTGAAAGCCAGGTTGGCGAGGAAAGTCCGGCGGCTCAGAAGCCAGGGTGGGTAAATTGATCAAATGGGCCGCTGCAAAATGGCTGAATTGGGTGATTCTCAGTAAATCTTGGGCAAGTGGTTGCACTTTGTGAGTCCATTGGTGCCAGGTCCAAGCGAGGCGGGGCGGCTACATTTGGGGGAGATGGAATGGTGCCTGACAAACCCAAAAATGAGCCATGCATGACAAACCTCCAACTGAGGATAATTTATAGTTCGCTTTGGCAGATTGGACCTTAGAGAGATTTTTTTCAGGATGCAAAGTGATCAAGAACCACTCTTTTTGAGATCAAGTCATGGCTTGAAACACAAGCAGTTTGTTTGCTACATTGTTCTTGTTTTAAACAAAATCTCCCAACAATTGGAGACAAACTTGTCATATGGAGCATATTCCATTTGTGGCAATTCGACACTTTGTCAGGTTAGCAGTTTAGAGCCTATGGGCTATGTCGCCAAATTGTGGGGCAGCCAAGGGACTCAACTATACCAACAGAAGTTTACAGGTATATTTTCATGGTTATCTTCCAGGTGCTGGGCTGTTCTGTCGTTGGTGCTTACTTCCTGTACAAAGGGACATCCTTTATGTTCATTTCTTCAAAATAACATGGTCAGTTTGGGTATTCCAGATTTTAAGACCGTAGTTTGTAGATATGCAGTCCTGTCAGGTCAGGTTGCGCCATTGTAGTAGCGCCCATTTGTCACAGGGGTTCATCCGCTTCTGATCATTTCATGTGTTCATTTGACTTGTGCTGAATGAAGAGTAACCAGCCATCACAGTCCCATTCTCCGCACACCAATCACCGCTCAGCTGTTCCCAATGTGGTGGCCGCATCCAGCCAATGTTCCAGTTTTGCCCGGGAGCCCGGAAAATTTGATGATCCCAGCTGCAGTGCATGGGACCAGCTTCGGAGCCGTGCTTCCGAGAGATTTGACTTTCGACCCATGTGAACTTTGTGGGGATCTGACCTCAACATGACCAAAACAGATGACAAGATGTAGATGGGCGAATTCACTAGCCATATTCATGGCGTTTTGCCAATTGGAGTTTACTGGAATTCTAGGCACTGTTTCAAAACCTGGTTGGACAGTTCCCCATTCCTGGAGTTGTGCCTGGGTCCATTACTGTCAGAAGGCTCCGAGATTTCGGTTATCACGATGATTTTTCGACCTTCGGACATGTCTAACTACTTTGTTTTGGAAGTGCAGGTTGCAAGAGTCTGCAAACTATTGTTTTTTTCCCCTCTTGTTGGCTCTCCGGCCTCTACTGTCGGCTTGGAGAGATTTCGGAAACCAAGCATCAGCGTAGCAACAAGTCGTTGCAAGCATAGCATCAAGTGAATGAGATTCTGAGAGCGTAGCATCACATCAGCAAAGTTGCAATGAACGTCAACAGATCCCCCCAACTCCCCCCATCCCATCCACCCTGTCATGAACGTAGCAAGCCAAAATGGAAGTGTAGCAAGTGAGGCCCAAGCTGTGGCATTGCTCTTGATTTTGGCGCCTGACCGACTGGCTGCTAGTTCTGCGAGTGTGGCACTCAGTGCTAACTGTGTCGATCCTGACACACCATAAGTTGACCTTTTACCCCCTCCATTGTCTAGCCCACCTCTCTTTATTTGATTCGTTTATGTATCTATTTGTTTTATACACATGTTTCTCAGTAATATATAATTAGTAATAATAGTAATTGATAGAATATATACATGCATATTTTTGAGTTTCTATGTCTAGAGAATGGCAGCCACTAGCATGACAGTCAGCCAGCCATCTCCTTACGTACTTGGCCTCGATCTGCTAGATGGCTTTTTTGATCAGTCCTAGGTTGGTCAAGCGAATCGCCTCATGTCGTAGGCCCCTGCTTTGCTGCTGTTTAGGATTGTCAGTTTGGAAGACAATGGAGTGATACAGATGTAATATGCTATGACATCTTCATATAAATTCCACGTCACATGGGTAGCATCGCAATGTAGTCAATGGAATGCCTCAGGAACTGCATTCTTGGAGATGTTGATACTGTTGATGGAGATGTTGGACATTTCGAGCATGTTCAAATTTCGCTGAAACTCTGCTCTGTCAGGTTATTCCGGCGCTATGTTAAAGCTTCATGGTCATTGTCAAGTGGCTGACTACTGCACACGCTGATTTTCCATATGCTGTATGCAGCCACTGGCAATGGGGCCTCTGCAATGCTCTCGTGGGAGACGGCACTTTGAACGGATGGAACAAAAACCGTGTTCACAAACCACTTTCAATTGAAGCCACTCGACACGGCATCTCTGTCTAGATTTTTCGGCTTGCCAGATGGATGGCTTCAAAATTCACTTGGGCCACATTTCTGGGAGATGTTTAGTGATCGAAAACATGTATCTGCAGTTCTGGTGTTTGAGGTAAACCTTTTGGACCCTAAATGATCGTTGGACTGCAAACCGAGTGTTGGGACAGTTTTGAAGATATTCAGAAGAGCCATTGCAGAGGTTCAAAATTCACGAGACGGATGGTGCAATCGTCTCATTTGTTTGTATATAAGATCTAGGCCTTTTGAAGGCAATTTGTGAAGGATACGCGGATGCCGCTTCTTTTCAAGATACCAAAGGTGGAGGTCCAACTGAGGCCAATCCGCACATCCTTCTGCAGGCCCTTTGTGCTCACACTGGCCAGCTAGAGTGAGTGTCTGAATTGTTTGTAATGATGACACAATGGGTTGGGCTGTGAACTCAAAACCCTCTTTGGATAATTGGGGAACGTATCAGAAATCCGTCACAACCCATTTTTTCGGGTGCGGGACTGTCGTCGGCGGTTGACGAGCCGTTCGTGACAGATGTCTCCCGGATCATGTCATCATTTTGGTGTAGAGTCATGGCATGCATTGAATGGAAGCCTCCACCCACACAGACAGAATTCATGCATTTGATGTAGATTCGAGCATCAAGTAAACATTGGTTGTATCGAACGAGCTGCAGGCATAGCTTCTGGATCCAATTGAGTTGTGGCCATCAACCTTTCATCTTCGTTTGCTCCAGGGTGTGACGCTTCTGAATTTGAGTGATCTATCGTTTTCCCACATGGCAACTGCGAACACGCGCGACAGCTGTGGACGTCCCAGACAGTGAACCGTGCTGGGGAAAAACAAAAGCATGGTGAGAAGCACTGATGTTGAAACCCTTGAGACAGATTTTCTGCATTTTTCAAGTAGGCAGGAGTCAGAAGTAGAAACTAAGGCCATAATTTATCATAATTTTTGTTATTTCATGAATTTCAGGCTATTATTTCATTTATCATATTATATCATATTATATCATATTCTTCAAAAATTCAACATCAAACCATCCATATTGTCCAACCAAGACCTTTGTTCCCCAGCTGAATCGCCTTGTTGGCCAACTCCCACATGGCCAGCTGGCACCGACCGTTGGCTCAGTACGGCTCTGACCTTTGGCTGTGCAAACTGAGAGGGGCAGCGCCGCGGCGGCCTCGGAAGTGGATGGATGGGATGGTTATGCCCCCACTCATAGGGGTTGATCTGGTTGATATTTTGATGTGTTGACCATTCATAGGGGTTGATATTAGGGTGAAGCATTTTTCCAGGAATCCCTAATGATTGGTTAGTGAGGGATGAAGGAAAAGATGAAGAACACGGACGATCACGGGCAAGTTAAAAGAAGAGAGGAAATAGAGAAACGAAGAAATTGAATGGACAACACCAAAGGATGAGGGGCTACCAAATGCAGCAGGCACAAACTCCGTTGATGCAACTGCAAAAGTGGTCCAGAACCGATGCTCAAGGTGAATTATGGCGATGGGCTATGGTCCTATCTTCAGAGAGCCAGTTGACTTGTTGCCGCCATCCTTCTCTCACGACCCCAGTAACTTCAATTTGATGCACCCTGACTTTCGGTTGCTACCAATCCAGGTGATGCCTCACCCGTATCACCCCGGACTCCGGGGCAATACGCAGCCGGCTTTGCGATGGGTTTGAACGAGTCATGCTGGCGCGGCTTTTTGGAGGTGCTGCGCCGGAAAAACACCTCCACGTTGAAATCTTCCCACTCGGCCAGGTCTGTCCATGACAATGTGGTCGGGGCCAAAGCATTTCTTCGTCTTTGTCTTGCTTGAGCCTGGTCAAATGTTTGCAGAAAGTCTGAATTTCATACTGATCAGTTGGGATTACCAAGATCAACCTCTGTTTAGCACCAGTTCAATCATTTTTTCCCACTCTGGGCAGACTGAGTTGCTGGGAGTGTTTCACAAATTCTGTCACCTAGTACTGCATCGGGAAGCCCGATGCCTGGAGTGGTCCACCATGCACCTTTTGTTCCAGCGCCCCCTCTTCTGCGATCTTTGGTGCCCTTGAGCTGTTTTAGTAGATATTTACAGATTGCGGTGGCCAACCTGCAACCTTGTTCCAGTACATACTGGCACGGCGCGAGGATCCTCTCCAAACAAAAAAACGAGCCAGTTTATCGTTTTAGATTTTAGACCCTCTTGATATCTTTTGTTTTTGCATGACTTGAATCGTGGCTGGAACTTCCCAGACTAAAATGTTGGCACGCCGTTCACCCAAGCGTCATCGAAACGTCAAATCACGATGGGTTCAAGAAGAGCATTGGAACCGCAGACAATAGCAAAACCAATCAACAACTGATTGCGAAACGTGTGCAAAGCGGAAATCTTATCGCCCACATGTGAGTTTCTGGGATAGCCGATAGCCGTCCGACGATGTGTCTTTCAGATCCTTAAATCCTTCAGTGGCTCAATACCCTGCCAAATCTGCCAACACCCGGATGACCCATATGAATCCATATGATTTCTGAATCATGTAGAGCAGAATGTCCTATAATTCCAGAGATTTGAGAGCCTTTTTTCTTGCGCTACTCTGCCATGCCAAGTTTGGCTCGCCTCGTGATAGCTACACAGATAGGCGCCGCTGAGAGCCGCCTTTCCAGGGGCCAGGCTCCATTGACATCCACGGCGCAGGCGTTGCATCAACGTTGACATGGACTTGGGTAGAGGCTTTTACAGAGGCCCTACTGGATGACTGGTGGATGTGGTCACCTGGAAATTGGGACTCCCCAAGTCCCTACTGAAAATATGCATTACAGAATTGTGAAGCCTGGCGTCATTGTTCCGTGAAAGAATTTGAGATGTTGACTGACGTTGGACTCGGGCTTATGAGCTTCTGACAGCTACCTTTGAACGATACTATTTCAAGTATCGGCAAATGCGCTTTGTTATTCAGGGTTTATGTTGCAGCATTTTCTTGGTTCTGCCTGTGGGTTGCAGATGCATAAAAGGGGTCTCTAGTTTGACTTGGTGGTGAAATCTGAATCGACCTACACTTGATGGTTGGGTTCGGGACAATTGGCAGGCTTTCTATTTCCATGCCATCTAAATCATCTAAGATTACGGATACTCCTTCCTTGGGGGGGCCAGAGGGGTATGTTAAGGAATCGGGAAGCTTCAAAATCCACCACATACATTAATCAAACATAATCAAACTGATGGGTATTGATACAGACACAAACCATCACAAACCCATTGGTTTGGGTACGGTATCACTGGGTATCACCCATTTTTGGAGACCTTGCCGGTCCGGCCCCTCGATCGACAGGTCGTAGCCCCTCGCCCAATAGCCCTGGGACAAAGTCTGAAGCTTGGTATTTTTGGGCATTTTTGGACATACTGAATCCATGTAGCCCCAAATCATCCCAAATCTAGTGAAAGTCTTGGAGGGGAAGCCTGCAGCCAGAACAGTGTGATATGGATGGTGGGGACATTGATCTTCCCTTGCGGACAGCTTCCGAGTTTCCGTCCCAGATCCCAATTTTGTTGCAAGTTCTCCAAATTTAAAACCCAGGTTTGAGAGGTTGCGATCTCTACAGGCTGAGCGTTTTGGCGTGGTGTTTGCTGTGTGTCCAGACGTGCGCAGCTTCAAGTTTACACATCACATCTGCTTGCCTCTGACACAGTATACTATACTTCTAAATGGATCTAAATGGACATTATGGCATATTGATACAAAACTAAACCATACTAAACCATGCTAAAGCTACAATCCATGGATGGTCACCGGCTTGAAACTCCTAGCGCAGGTGCTGGAAAAGCCTTTCCTGGACTTCTCCCTGGACGTTGTGCCATGCCGAAGGCATTCACCGGCACCCCAGAGACATGACCCACGCAACGAGATCCTGCAAGCCCTTGATGCACATGAGCCAGGGCCTAAAGGAAGTCCTTTCTTTGGTGTCAACGGATGTCATTGATGTCATATAAAATTTAGGAGTTTCATGGAGTTTCTACACATTGCCAAACAACATGGTGGGGAAACAACCCATCGACTTGTTGTTAGGCTGCTTTCTTAGTTAGCTATTTCGTTGGTTAGTTAGTTTAGTTTAGTTTCGTTTAGTTTAGTTTAGTTTAGGTAGTTGGTCAGCAGTTA